GATTCAGATTAGACCTCGCCATCCCTGGGGGGCTGCGATCTGTGAAACTGTCGCCACTTTCGAGGCCTGCTTGCGGGGCCCAGCACAGTGACGCCTCTCAAGTAGCTGACACATCAAGTTGATTGTCCATACAAGTTTCGGCCAACTCCTCGTTTCCATTGATACAACTGGGTTGGGTACGTCACAGGGTAATTGTTGTTCGCTCATTATTTGGTCTACGACCTGGTTTGTCCCAGCCCAGAGCCTCAAACATCCAGTGGATACACTGCTTCCCTACAGGTCGAGCCAGGGAATGCCGTATGTGTTGCGCAGGCGCGTGGAGTGCCAACGGCACCCCGGGCGTTGTCGCCGAGCCCCAGGCTTTCCGCACAGGCTGCCACGACGTCGCGGTGCATGGCTTAACCTGACCTTCCAGGAGGGCTAAAAAATGGCACCCGACTTAAAAACCTATCCCAAAGCTATTCTACGTCTTGGTTTTAGGCTGTTTCGCTCGGCTCTTTAGGTTTTTAGGTCTCCAGTGCTAAAAAATAGCTCTCTGGAAGGTCAGGGTAATGCCTCCCCCTCTCCCAGGAGGCTATTTTTTTTAAGGGTCGGGCGATGACCCGGGTTATCGGGCCTGCCCCCCTTTCCCTCCCCCCCCCCCAGGATAACCTAACCTTGATGGTTGTGCAGGTCCGCGGGAGGGGGGGACGCGGGCATATTCAGGGCTGCCCACAGCGCGAGGGTCAGGTTGTCGGCCCGCCCCCTCCCCCCCCCCCGGGGATAACCCGGGTCATCGCCGATTTCCCCCCAAAAACGGTCTCCAGGCACCACGGGGGTGGGGAGCGTGCTGGCTCGTGGCCACTTCCCGAAGTTGTCGCGTGGCGCTCGCGTTGGTGGAGGCAGCCGCTTGGGCAGCGCGTTCGTCCTGGGCAGATGCTCGACGAGCTGGAGGGCAGCAGTGCAGCGCATCGCGCGCCGACGACGAGACGTCGGAATGGTTCACAGACGCGCCGTGCGAACCGAACTGCTCTGCGAATCCTGGTGACCCGTATCCTGCGGGCATCGGTCTGTCCCGCCACCGTGCGTAGGTTTGTGGTCAGAGGCCACTTGGACGCATGTGCGTGTGAGAGTCTCTTGGGATGTCTTTCGGGGGCCTCTTGGAAGGCTCTTGTCGTGCCGGAGGAAAGGGGGGGATTGGGAAAGGGGGGGTTACGAAATTTGCTGCATGCAGCTGGCTTCGGCCCTACCGAGGGGCCCATTCCTCGATACATAGCCGCCTCCGGCGCCGGGAGGCGCCGGGAAAATCAGCTACGTGAGCTGATTCTCAAACCCCCCCTTTGCTATCCCCCCTCTCGCCCGGTCCGATCTTGGGTGGCCTGTCTCGGGGGCTTTTGGGGAGCCACGAGGGGAGCTTCCTGTGAGCCTCTTGCAGCCTCTTTGGAGCCTCTTTCGGGCCTCCCGAGAAGCCCCCGAAGAGGCCACGGGGGTGCCTCCGGGAATGCCTCCCTGCCTTCCTGCATTCCTGGAAGTTCGCCCCCCTCGGGCCGCCACACATGGGCGCTCCCCAAGCTCTGGTCTCTCTCTCTCTCTCTCTATATGTCTGTGCCTCTCTCTCTCTCTTTCTTTACTTCTCTCTCTCTCTTTACCTCTCTCTCTCTCTCTTTCTTTCTCCCTCGTTGCCTCTCGTCTCTTCATGATCTCTTCGCCACTCTTCCGCGCGGCAGCCCGCCCCCTCGTTGGCCGCGCTCGGCGAGGATCGCTCGACGACGATGAGATGCTTCGCGTGCTTCTCGGACGGGGGCGGGGCAGGGGCCGCGGTGTGAAGGAGGAGGAGGAGGAGGAGGAGGAGGAGGAGGAGGAGGAGGAGGAGGAGGAGGAGGAGGAGGGGGAGGGAGGGGGAGAGGGGAGAGGAGGAAGGAGGAGGAGTGAGGAGGAGGAGGAGGAGGAGGTCTTGGTGGTGGAGGACGGAGGATGGGGAGGAGTTGAGGAGGACAGGGTTACGGAACTGTCGACGGTGCAGAATTCCAAGGGGCAAATATCGTTGCAATATCACACCCTGCTTGCGACTGCCAGCCAGTGGCGGGGGGTGGGGGGACAGGACCCCTCACCATCCCTCACTCCACAGGGCCAATGACAACCCCCAAGATCCCGACCAGGGTAGGGGGCGCAAGCTTCTGGGCGTGAAGATATTGAGGAAAAGGAAGATGGTGAGACTGAGGATGGGCATGGAAGAGAAAGAGAAAGAGGGTGAGAATGATGATGGGGTTTGAAAATGAGTCGGAGGGTGGCAAGGACGTGAATGGGGGGGTTGGGGAAGCGGGAGGAGATGGAGGAATATGAAGTGGTTCACGAGCAGGGAACGAAGGAGGAAGAGGAGAGGATTAGGTGTGGACCATCAAGAGGAGGCCAGGATAGGGGCAGGAGGGTGCGATGAGGTAGGAGGCGGGGGGAGGGGTAGGAGGCGGCGGCAGAGGAGGAGGAGCAGGGATGAGGAGGAGGAGGAGGATAAAGTAGGAGGATGCTGATGGTAATGTTCATTCTGAGGAGGAGGATCAGGCGGAGGGTGATGAGGAGGACAAGGGGGACTGAAGAGGAGGAGGAGCTGGAGGAGGAGGAGGAGGAAGTAAGGGATCCGGAGGAGAGGAGGAGATGGAGGAGGAGGAGGAGGAGGAGGAGGAGGACGAAGTGAGAGGAGGGAAGAGGAGGCCAGGGAGGACGATGAGAGACCGAGGACGAGGGAGAGCGTCAGCAGCGAAGCGCAGGCGAGGGAGACGAGGCTCGGGCGAAGAGAACTATGCATGTGCACCGATCCCGACAGCGTCCGTCCTTGACCCAGGCTCGGTGCAGACCTTCCCGGCCAAGATAAGAGGGCGTATGCACCGATCCCGGGCTCAGGATGGTCCTGGCCAGAATCGGTGTATGTGCATAGTTCTCTTTCCTCCATCTAGATGTCCGCGCTGCTGGTGACCTGGTGTGGGCCACGGGGCCCTCTGGAGGGGATCTGGGGCGGGCAACAAGCCCGAGGGGCAGGGTCGGGAGATCTTGGGCCGCGGACTGGAGAGTCAAGCCGGCGGGTGTCAGAGCGGGTCCCGAGAAGAACAGGCCCTCCTGTTTTTTCAAGCAGTGGCGAGGCATCCTGGCTCGCCTATAGCCCCACCAGACAATGGTCTAAGAACCTTGTGTGGTTTCCACGAAATGTTCTTAGATCATTTTTTCTCTAGCCGGCGGGCGGTGCATATAGTTCTCTTTTCCTCCATAGAGCAGAGGCGTTTCCGCGCGTGGCGAGCGTGCCCGAGCGCGGCGAAAGGCGGAGGCCCCGCGGCGCGCGCGCGCGCGCACAGGAGGCCCGGCGCCCGGCCCCGCCTCCTCGGGTGCCGCTGCGGGGCCGAGGTCCGCCCCGGGAGGGGGGGGGGAGGGGGGAGGGGGGCGCGGGGCGGTGGGGGGGATCGCGGGAGGGGGGGGGGGGTAAAACGATGCGAAGGTCGGGACAAAATCGGATCGGGATGACTCGAAAGCTCTGAGGATCGGCGGGTTTGGAGGATGTATTGGGCGCCGCGGCCGCTTCAGAGCGTTCCCGAACGCTCTGAGAGCGCTGCGGAACGCTCTGGAGCGATTTATATCCCGATCTTAGCCCTGTTTTAGAGGGGGACTCTCTCTAGGCCTCTCGGATGGGGTCGGAGCAGACGGGGTCGGAGGATGGCGCCGCAGCGCCGATGCATCGCCGATGCGGCTCGATGTGGGGCCCGATGTGCTTCGCGTCGACGGCGCCGATGCGTCGCCCACGTCGATGATGCATTGCCGGTGCATCGCCGATGCATCGCCAAAGCATCGCCGATGCATCGGCGATGTATCGGCGATGCGGCGCGATCCTCCGACCCCATCTACTCAGACCCCATCTAGAAGGCCCCTAGGGGAGAAGGCGGAGAATCGAAGAACGAAATGTGGCATGAATTGACGGTCCTCACGGATCTCTTGGATCGGCGTTGGGCCCCCTTTGGCGGCGCCTCTGGCGCCGCCCCTGGCGGGCTCCGCGCACCAGCGAAGGGGGTTCAGCGCAGATCCAAGAAATCTGCGCGGACCGTCAATGTTTATGTTTTTTTCATTTTTTGTTGCTCCGCTAGAGAAGGGGGGCTATGAGGAGCGATGATCTCAGATCGAGGCGTTTGGTTGATATTCGACCTTGTACTGTCTCTGGTGGGGCCTCCTGGTCGCCAGGGCGGAGTTCCCCTCGACAGAGTCATGCGATAATGCCCCCCAAAATGGGTTTGTGGGTCGATACTTGAGGGCGAGCGCTAGGGACGAGGAGGATGAATCCTGAGGAGGAGGAAATGGGAAGGAAGGAGGGGCGGACGAGGAAGGGAATGAGGACAGGGAGGGAGGGAGGCAGGAGGAAAAACAGAAGGATGATGATGATGATGATGATGAGGAGGAGGAGGAGGAGGAGGGAGCGATGGCGTGAGGATGAGATAAGATGAAACAGCGCTTTGCAAAGGTCGAGAGATGATCGCACCAAGTTTTGCCTTCGAAGGTGCCTCCTTGAACTTCACAGATTCGAGGAGGGTGGACATTATCTATTCAGACTGTAGGTCATTCCAGAGTAGGACCATGACGTAGATAATGGGAAGGATGATGTTGCTGCTGCTGCTGCTGATGATGATGATGAGGAGGAGGAGGAGGACGAGGAGGAGGAGGAGGACGAGGAGGAGGAAGGGGAGGAGGAGGAGGGGGAGAAGGATACACATGAAAACATGAGAAGGAGGAGCAGGAGAGGGGAAAGAAGCGGTGCAAGGAGAACGGAGAGAAGGATGAGTCGGTTCCAGCATCTGCGTTGAGGGGAGTTGGCCGCCACGATGCAAGCAGGCCAAATCGCAGGGCGAAGTGAGCCAGGGGGGAATGGGGAGGCCGCACAGATAGCAATTTGGCAATGGCATTGCAAACAGGCGATCGCAAACATGGATCAAGGGGGCGTGGATTGGCGACGGGCCCCGTTTCCATAAGAAGTCGCAGATGTCCGCCGTCGAGTGAGGCGGAACCGGCCGCATTTTGGGGAGGGCACCTCCCCCGATCCATGGATTTGGCGACCGCGCATCGCTAATTCATGTTTGCGCGCCCCGGTGTAAAGCGGGCGCTCTCGTTCCATCTCGCAATGAAGAGGTGGCCTCTGGTGGGGTTGGGCTCGTCGCCGCGTTGACTCGCTCAAATGGGTTCCCGCTGTCGAGCGTTGAGGGGGAGGAGGGAGAGAGGAGGAACGAAGGAACGACGGGATCTTGATCTTCGTTTGCCCTGCTTGCGCCTTCAGGAAGACCAGGTTCCCTTCGAGATCCTGCTCACAATGTGTTTTGGGGCATGTCGGGGGGCGAGGGGGTGGGGATCGAAAGGCTGGGAGGAAGAACAGTAGCTGAAAGAAGGAAAGGGGAGGCGGACGAAGAGGAGGCGAGGGGAAGAGGAGGAGGAAGAACGAAGACAGAGAAGGAATGATGCGGGATGGGATGGGAGAATACGATTGGATGGCGTTGTGGTTCCAGGGGGCTTTGTCAGGATTCTTAGGGGCCTGACGGGGTTCTTGGATCCTCCCCCTCCCTGCTCTTGATTTCCACTATCTTTCCGCCCTTGCCGGTATGCCTCATTCTCGAGTTACTCTTCCTTTTTTTGTTCGTCGTCCTTTTCTCAGGGTTGGAAAGTGGAGAGGAGGGGGAGAGAGAAGAGCAGGAGGAGGGGGAGGAGGGTGAGGCGGGGGGAATCAAAGGGAGGATCGATGGAGAAAGGAGGAGTAGGACACAGGACCATATCAAACCGAATATTCATTAATGATGCTGCAGCACGCCCGCCCGCACCAAGGCCCCTTCTCGTCAGCCCCTACGCTAATTATTGAGTACCGCGAGGAGTGTCCTCTTGACATACGAGCGCCACCTTGCCGTGCTGTCTCCATGCTTCTGGCTCTAGCTGTGCGGAGGGGGTGCGAGGTAGGATCGGAACCTCAAAGATCGTCTCCACCGAGAGCCCCGCATTGAGCAAGAAGCGTCCTCACTCTGTGCATATTTTCTTCATCGTGATGAAGTCTCAGGATCGCGCCGCATCGCCGATGCATCGCCGATGCGGCTCGATGCGATGCCCGATTTGCTTCACGTCGACGGCGCCGGTGCATCGCCCACGTCGATGATGCATTGCCGATTCTCCGATGCATCGGCGATGCATCGGCGATGCGGCGCGACCCTCCGACCCCATCTGCTCCGACCTCACCTCGGAGGCCTCCACAGGTGCGATCACCGTC